ATATAGAGATATATAGAGATATATATAAATATATATTAGGAAGATCAAGCAAAATGGACAGACTGTGTTCTAGCTGATAACTTGAAAAGCAGCTTAGAGCATTCACAGAAAAGTTCACATTGTGTAATCTGTTTACTGACTAAGGTGGCACAAACACACAGTCCATTGTCTCAGCAATGTCATTCCCTACATTAATAGCAACAGTTATTGTGCTGTGTTGTTTTCCAAACCTGACTGATGTTTGGAAAGAACAGACACTTTTTCAAATTGTTTTTTACTTATTAATTTATAAACATTTAAAGAATCTTTGCTAAAATACATAATTCAGATAGACATAGGCTATTTTTAAATGACTAATAATTACTTTATCATAGTAATAACCACACTATGGTCCCATTGTTTTGTTGGTGATTGTTCTATAATATCAGTAATCCAAAAAAGACATTTTTAAGGATTTTATTTTAAATTACTAAATATTTTCAGTTTTAAAATAACATGAAAACGTCTAGCCACAAGTTTTCCCTTAACAAGTTGACTTCAGCTCTGCCTTTATCTACAAACGATCAGAGGCTGATAAACCGCAATAAGCCCAGGAAACACCCAAAAACGGTTGCATTTGCAGCTGCAAGGAGAGTAAGGAGTTGCAGAGAGGGCATAACATACAAAAGTTTATTAGCTGAAATGTTCCAAATCAATTAACTATGAACAGCTTCTCAGAGCTAAACGTTTGTTCTTCTGTTTTCGGTGTGGTTTGTTCGGTGACCCCAAAAATATTTTGGCATTTTGAGTAATTTAAAATATGTGAAATCAATTAAATAAATGTCTAAACATCCAGCTTAAGTGCTTTTGCATAAAGAAATGTTATACTAGCACTTTTGTTGAGCAAAATCCTCTGCAAAGGTAAATTTGTTAGGTGAGAGAGGGTATGTAGAAGGTCTTCTTATTTTTATTTCATTGAATGAGAGAGTTGACACTGTGTCAGACAGGAACTCTGAGAATGAGGTCGGACATGTCCAGTTGGTTTTCTTCTGGGCAAAATAGTTTAACTGTGCACATAACTTTGAAGCAACTGTACACATTTGTGTAACACTTTTAAATCCCTCCAGCTGAAGAAGACCATAAAGCCACCCGAGATCCCCTCGAAGCATGTGAGAAACTGGGTTCCCAAGGTCCTGGAGCAGAGGAGACATGGCTTAGAGCTCTACCTGCAGGTATTTGGACTAACATTCCCTCCACCTGTCAGGGCTGTTTGTCTCAGATATAAAGAAGTTAAATGGATTCAAACTCGCCTCTAGGATGCTTCGTTTTGGTGCTTCGTACACACTGAAATTTGCTTTTGTTCTGTTAGACTATAATTATGGAAAACGAGGTCCTTCCAAAGATATTCCTGGATTTCCTGAACATCCGCCATTTTCCTTCAGTGCCAAAAACAGAAAGTTGTGGGTGAGTGTAAACTGCTGGTTTACTTTAGAATAAAAGACCAGTTTGTGGCATTTGCGCTTGTTCCCAGGGTCGTGGAGGGTTATGTGGCATAACTTTTATTTTTCTTCTTTAAGGTCATTTGATACAGAATCACTGGAGTCGAGGTGAGTCGTTTTTCCCTCCCATAGGTCACGTTCTTAATCTGCACTTTAACCAGTTAAAACATAAGTAACTATTTGCTCTACACTTGAACTTCACTCAGATTGATTGGCACAGACCTCCTGATTTCTCCTTCTTCCTCTCTTTTAGTAAACTTTCACATCAGCCGGTCATGCTGTTTCTGAGAGACCCCTACCTGCTGCCAGCTGGACACGGTGTGTGCACATAACATCTTAAAAGGCTTTCCTTTCTTCTCCATTTAAAACAAAAGGTACTCATTCTTTATTTGACCTATTTTTCTTTCTTCTTCACCTTTTCAGATGAATTTTCTAACGTTGTGATCGAAGGCGTGGTGCACGGAGTTTACTACCCAGATCTTCAGCCAAGGTAGAGCCTCCAAGCCGAATCTGAGGGGACGTCACTACAAACGGGATGCTTCTTTTTTTTTTTCTGCACCATTTCAGGTGTGCGTCATGAAGAACATAACACGTTAGGACACACTGAGCCCTTCACATCTTCCAAAGCAAATAACAAGAATCCATTCTTTTATTTTTGTAAGAAAGGACGCCAGGACTCAGCACATTTTAAAGCATAAACACTATATTATCCGTTTTCCACTAACAAACTCTCCACTGTAAAAATGAAGTGAAACTGTTTGACTGGTTACTAGGATGTGTTCAAGCACATAGGCGCCTTTTCCGAAAAAATAGAGCTCGATACATTGTAACTTAACTTTATTTTGTAAAAAACATAACCAGCAAAATTCACAGGGAGGATCAACTGGAATTAGAAATGTGAGGCTCATAAGAGCAACGGACCTGATTATATTCTTTTTTTGGTTTGTTTTAGTCACCCTACAGTGTATTCTGAATGACTCTTGCACTCTCATGAACTGAAAAAGGGTTAGTGTGCCAGACGCACAGGAGCATTTCTGGCATCTAAAGCACAGGGTTAGACTGAGCTTGATGGATCATGGCCTGCAAACAGGGAGGTGCCCTTCTCTATTTTATCTCCAGTGATGTGGTGTTTCTGTTTATTTCGAGCTGCCAAAAGGAGCCTGCTGTGGGAGTGCTGTGGGTGAATTCTTTTTTTTTTTTTTAGGGACTGAAGAGGGTGTTTTTGCGTTTTGGTGGAGCCGACAGCGAGACGTTAGGGTGGAAATGACTGACTTTTTAAACACGCTCTGGCTGTGATATTGACGTCTTTCACGAAGTCTGTGAGAAGTACTGTAGTGTTGATATTTGTGCTAGTGAGCTCACTATGATGAAGTGACAAAGACTGAAATATGTGCCACAGCTGACTAGTAGATGCAGATGGGAACGGTGCAATTACTTTGGCTTCACTTGCGTTTTCCATTCCCTCAGCAGATTTTCCCACATTAAAAAAAAAACAGGGAATCTCAGCCTTTTGAAATTAAGGGTTTGCTCTGTCGTCATCTTAAACGCGCACCACCGACTTAGATGATAAGAGAGCCTCCAGTTCTCAACCCAGCAGAGAAAAAAATAAGAAATGTGTGTAAAAGCTGTAGGTACACGTAGATTTCTCACTTACTGTTTGTGCATGACTTTGCAGATCGTGTTCATTTGTTTTATGGGAACAATTTGTGACCCGTCTCTAACACTAACGCACTCGTATTAATGTTTAAATCACAAATATAATCGAGGTCCAGTTAAGTTGTGGTAACTGGAAGCATAGTTGGCGCCGCCGTGTAAAAGGGATGCAGAGTGTTTCATTTTACAGACAGATGGTGATTTAGCAGACTTACAGCCAGTAAAATAACAGTGCAATATGATATGAAACACAAAACTTTGTCTTTATCTTGCTGCCTGGAATTTATTTCATGTAAAACTTTAAAATCTAACACCCTTCGATGACTGGTAGCTTTTGATGAAACTTTGTCACTGGACACTCTTCGGACAGCAATTAATAACCTAATAATTTTTTTTTTTTTTAACGTGACTGGACCTCCACTACACATTTATAGCTAAACAATGAATAATGAAGAGATTGTGATTGTGTGTCTTAGCAAATCATTGCCTGGAAATCCATGTTGTAGATTTATATGTATTTATATTGTGTGCCGTGTGTCATTCTGTGCCATAATGCCAGCCTACAGTGAACACTGGACGTCTGCTGTAGCACTTTATGAAGGGTAATGTGTACAATACTGACACCAATAAAAGGAAAAAGAATTCTCTATTTTCCGCAAGCTTGTCGTCAGACTCATTTCAATATCAAAATTTATTTTCATCAATAGATCTCCATAAGAAAAAAGACAGAAAATACTTTTTTCCCTTGCATCGTACCATAACTGGTTAGAACGTTAAACTGACTGAAGTATCATGAATATTTGTAAACATAATTTATCTCAAATTGTTCTAATCTCGTTGGAGCTGGCAGATGAACAGAAAAGGATCCTGGTCACTGAGATCTGTCCCTTTGAAACATAAAACCCTTCCTCCTTCAGTCACATGCTTCCACCTGCTTCACTTCTGTCATTCAAAACAGCATTAGCATTTTTGCACACACACATATGCTCCTCTAGCAAATAATGCCTGCTGTCTTTTTAAGCGCACTTATTTTTAAGAACAACCCTTTTTTTTTTTTTAAACGGTCTTTAACAAACGCTCTAACCACGTAGTGACTTTACATTTGGACATAATCTGAAATGTTTCAGAAGTGAAAACGGAAAAAAAAGGGCTGTGATCTCCGGGCAGTGATGTCCCAGTGTAGTAACAGTCCAGTAGTAATAGCGCGGACACACACACTCACATTGATGGGAATGTGTGATTCAGCACCTACAGGCAATTCACCGAGTATTTTTTTTTGGCCTCAGTGGCATTAAAGTTCTGCATGACCGACTTCATCTTTGAGCCGTTCGTCTTGACTGGCTTCTGCTTGCGGTTCCTTCATGTTGGCGTAGGCAACTTCCCTCGTCAGCTGCTCGAGCGGAGGCAGACCCACCGCCAGGTTTCTCATTGCAATGGCTGTCATCAAGATTCTGGAAGACAAATGTGCAGAGTTCGCGTGTTTGTTTAACTGGTTTTTCTACACTTTGTCTGCATCTGTGCGTTCTCAGAGAGCTCAGCACTCACCCTCTGCGTATTGTGTAATACTTCTTCACGGCAAAGCGCTGCAGTCGCTCCAGCATGCCGGCCTCCCTGCGTTTCTTAACTTCCTTCATCCGTCGCTGCCTCTTCAGGAACAGCCGCACAATCGGGTCAGTGGCGTTGACCTCTGAACCCTCGTCATCATCTGCAGCCATGAGAGGCTGCAGCTCGGGAGGAAGTGGCTCGGTTTCTGTGGGGTGAGACGGACTCAAGTAAAGCAGGCACACCAGGAGAGAGCTGAATGGGATTTTTAGTGACATGCAGATCAGCCATCGACAGCTGAATGGAAATAGATTGATTGTTTCATTAAAATGTAAAGTCACCTCGACTTTGTTATACACCACCAGGCTAAGCACACACCCCCACCCCACGAGTAGCATCATAAACTTTTATATATCTACTGTATTGTTTACAGTGTTGGCCTTCTTTACTGATTTTTTACTGCATTTTTTTTTTTTGTTTATGTATTGCTACATCCTTAATGAGCTAGAGAGGCCAGTTTGAGATAGTTTGGACACGAGAAGCTGTCAGGCACAAGGAACAGAGGAATGTGAAGTGAAGGAGGACATGCAGAGGAGGAGGCAGATGATCTGCTATAGCGACCTCTACAGGGAGCAGCTGAAAGAAAAAAAGAAGGCCTGCAGCACGTACAGACATCTGCGGTTGTAACTGGAGTAACAACTTTTGAAAGTATTCCAGCAGGAAGTTGTGCCTCGCCACAATGCAAAAACTACTCTGAAACGGCTCAGGGAGCTAAGGGAACAACTTTAACTTGTGCCTCCAAATTCCAAAGATCCAAACCCAATTGAGCATCCATGGAAAGAAAGGGGAGAACAAAAGCAAGCCACAACCTGAAGAATCCTCTGCCCTGTTTTGTGGGTACATGGGTAACCTGCACAGCACTGAGCACGTAGGTTTTCAGATCTTTTTCAGGAACCTTACCACTATTCTGTAACCCCTTAAAATAATCCACTAAAAGCTATGCAATGTGTTATTTTTGAAAGCATCTTCACCTGTTCCATTGCGAACACGCTCCTGGATTTCATACAGCTTGGTGAAATTCTTCTGTAGTGCCGCCTCTGTGGTGTTTACATAGACGTACATGTAGCAAGAGGGGCCCTCGGACACTGTGTACACCTTATGATAAGCCCCAGCAGCTACCTACACAAAGCCACAGTAAGTTAAGTACTAAAACAAGATAAAGAGCAAAGCATGAACAGTGACAATGGTGAGCAGCTGTACCTTTATCTGCTCACCGGGCTGCAGAGTGTAGTTCTTCTTCTCCTCCACTATCTCTACATTCACCTGGCCCTGCAACACCTGGATGCTGGTGTTGCCCAAATCTTCACTCACAAAGTTTTCCAAGTGGAGACCTAAAAAGGGAAGATAACAATAAAACAACACACCATACATGGTTGTTTTAATCCAAAAGAAAAATTGTAAAAGTGAGGTTTGTAACCTGGGAAATCCGCAATAAAGACGATTTCAGTCTGATTGTCCAAACTTCCCTCGATCTCCTGGAACTTGGGCCTCCAAGGCGAGAGGTCCACCAGCAGAGGCATGAGCCATTTGTTTGGTTTGAAAGGTGACCATTCAGCTCTCACAATGTCCACACGAGGATCAAAGATCCTTAGAAAAGCATCCAGAGCAGATTTAAACCTCACCCTTTTACAATTCTGAGACAAGGCTAAAAACAAAAAGCTCTCGTACCTTTGCTGGAAGCGTTCATTGATGGACACCCAGATGTCAAAGTAGATTTCAGGATCGGAGATGTTATAACGAGGCAGGTACTGATGGAGGCATGTAGCATACTGCTTCAGCATGTCTCCGTGGTCCTTCCAGCGACGGCTCTGTGTGAACACCTACAGCAGGCAGATTGTGAATTGGAAGAGCAAGACTTTAGGAAAGACTACAATCTAAAAAGGTCAAGGAAAAGCAGTTTTGTTTATTAAAGAAACATCCATATACAGATGGAGACACTGTCGGGTGAAATTAAAGGAATTCCAAACATCACAGATTACAGTTATAACTAATGTATATTAATAATAACAATATAGTCAAAGCACTTCTGTAAGCACTAATTTTTGTTTTGTTTTGGGGGTTTTTAGCTCAGATAGCAAACGTTATCGAGTCTGACAGTGTTTCCCCTGTAACTCACCCCTGGGTTCAGATATCCAGTTTCACCCGTTTTCCTGTCTTTGTAGGTGATTTTAACGTGCTGATGGCTGCGAGAGTGAACCATCATGTCCCATGAATATCCGTACAGGCCATTAGTCCAGTTGTTATAACCCTTGACAAAAAAAAGAAGTTTAAGTAAAGTCATAAATCGCATCACCATTT